AGCTGGGTGAGCTAACAGCTGCTTTTTCTCCCTGGCCCACAGACAAGTTCCCGGATGACCTCCAGTGCGTGGAGCTAGAACTCCTGGATAATGACGTGTGCAGGAAAGCACATCCCCAGAAGGTGACGGAGTTCATGCTGTGTGCAGGGCACTTGGAGGGTGGCAAAGACACCTGTGTGGTAAGCAGCACCTCCATCCATGTGGGGGGGATCTTCATCTGGTTATAGTCTTCATCATTGTCTTTATCTGGCCTTCCAGCCCCAGGAGTGGGGCTGGTAGAAGAGACACAGATTCCAAGTTTTGGGGGGATTTTTGGTTGTTGGTCATGGGGTGGGAAAGGGCCTGGCCCTATCCCTAAGCTTTTCTGCTCAAGGCTAGCACTCTACCCACTTTGAGCCACAGCTCCCCTTCTGGTTTGGGGGTAGTTAATTGGAGAGATAAAGAGTCTCAGAGACTTTGCTGCCCAGGCTGGTTTCAAAATGTGAACCTCAGATCTCAGCCTCTAGAGCAGCTAGGATTATAGGCCTGAGCCACCAGGGCCCAACTGAGGAGACTCAGATTCTGAACTGAGGTCTGCCCGCCATCTGCCCCCAAGGCTGCCCCCAGTGCCTCAGTTTCCTCCCTTCCTGAACCCCCATCCTGGCAAGTACTGCACACCCCCGTATCACAGTGTCCCCTGTGGCATGTGTTCTGCCTGGTCCCAGAAAGCTTCCTGAATGGGGCTGAGAGATGAGCCAGGAGGGAAGGGTCACCTAGCTCCTCTGGCCTTTCCAGCTGGACCCTGTTGCCTCCCCCTCACCGCTGTGTTGGAACCCTGTCTTCCAGCCTGGTCCACAGACCTTTCTCACTATCTCTCTGTTTCCTGTTCTCAGGGAGACTCAGGGGGCCCGCTGATCTGCAATGGGGTGCTGCAAGGCATCACCTCCTGGGGCCATGTCCCATGTGGCAGCCCTGACAAGCCTGGTGTCTACACCAGAATTACCAAGTACAAGCAATGGGTAGAGGAAACCATGAACAACAACTCCTGAACGCCACCTTCTCCCCACTCCCAATAAAGCCAAATACGCATCACACCAGTGTCTCCTGCCTTTATCTGGCTTTCAGCCCCCAGCCCATCCAGCGGATCCCAGTCTGCCCTGGCACGGGGCTGTGCCGATGCGGACGACCAAAGGGGCAACCAAGGCTGGGACCCTCGGGGCGAAGTCGGGGATGCCCGTGGGGCGCTGGGCCGACCCCTGTGAGAGCAGGGGCACCGAGGAGCTGCAGGGCACCCAGCTCGGTGGGGGAGGTCGGGAAGGGGGCAGAGGGCTGATGGCAAGCCACGCCCCCAGGGAGGGGCCTGCTCCCTAGATGGACCCTGCAGAATGCCAGGACAGAGGAAGGGATGGGAGCTTGGGGCATGGCCTGAGCTGGGACAGGGACAGGGCAAGGCGTGTGGGCGTGGTGTGAGTGCTTGAATGTGGGAGGGGCCTGGCTAGTAGTGGTCTGAGTGCCCTGTAGTGGGCATTGCCTGGTAACGTGTGTGGGCGTGGTCTTGCAGGACTGACACCAAGGGCGGGGTCTAGCTGGACATGAGTTGGGGGGGGGACAAAGGGGCAAGGGGGGGTGCCATGTGTGTCCTGCCATAGCTAGCATAGGGACCAGGCTACAACTATGCACACTGTCCAGGCTGCAGACCCCAAGAGGGGTGTCAGACCTCTGGAGTGGGGACACTGTGAGGACCCAGTGGGCGGAGACAGGATGGCAAAGTGTGGGCCCTAATGCTGGTGGTGAGGTTGGCCACGGTGGTCTTCAGAGGGTGCGGCCTGTTCTCAGGGCCTCCAGAGAGGGGTTGGGGATATGAGTGGCCACGGTGAAGGGGCGGGCCAGCACCTGGCCTGGTTAGAGCTCAGTGTTCTGAATTGCTGAGGAGTTCTTCGTGGTAGGGTCTTGAGTGTCACCCTGGTCGGAAAATGAACTATCCTCAGTCTGCTCAGGGTCTGAATCTTGCTGCTGGGACAGGCGCCCCACGGCGCCCTGCTGAAAGGCCCAGCGACGATAGCTTATTCTCCGCTCCATGGCGGGCATCCTCCGGCTCCACAAGCCCACTTGGTTAAGGTAAGAAAGGCCTCCTGTGGGAGGAGTGCACGTGGGAGCTGGACTACCAACCCCAATTTAGGCCCACTCATCCCTGCCTCCTTCCCTGGGCTCTGCCCCCTGCTCCGACCAAGGCCCCACCCTTCCTTCCCAGGCCTGGCCCTCACCGGCCCACAGCATCAAGCCACTGGAGCACAAGCAGAGGTAGAAGGTCACCAGGTAGGATACCTGTGGCCTGGGGTGCAGGCTCTGGCAGTCAACCACAAAGAGCGTCAGACTGAGGAGAATCAGGAGCCCTGCACTGGGGTGGGGCCAGAGACAGACAGGAGGCTGGACAGTGACCCTAGTTCTCCCAGGAGGAGGAAGGGAACAGAGACATCCCCTCCCACCATCTGTGACAAGCAGACAGACAGACACACAGCCACACACACACACACACACACACACACACACACACACACACACACACACACAACAGACACTGGGAGAGAAAAGAAGGGGGAAAAAAAGAAACAACCAGTAGGAGAAAGACATCACACAACAGAGCCTAAACAAGAAGGAGATGCCTACAGAAGGAGAGAGAGAGAAAGAGAGCGAACGAGAGAGAGACAGAGACAGAGACAGAGACACAGAGAGAGAGACAGAGACGAGAGAAAAAGAGAGAGAATGCACCTGAGAGGCCTTTGCAAGACCGGCAGATTTCAGAGCAGTAAGTTCAGCCACACCTCAACACAGAAAGGGGATCTGGGAGGGGTGGGGGGCAGGGCCTTCCCCGAGGTGGCCCCCTCCCAAGCCAAACTTACCAATGCTAATGCTCAGGGAGCTGAAGACAAAGTCGATCTTGACCAGGCGGCGGAAGACTGGGCGGAAGGAGAAGATGATGACGGGGAGGAGCAAGAAGCACAGGCCCAGGGCCAGCAACATGAAGCCCTTACTCATGTGAATGAGAACTAGGGAAGTGGCAACACATACTGTGGTCAGCCCCAGCAGTCAGTCAATGCTATGCCCCCACATCATGCCCACTGCCACTGCGAGCAGTCCCTCAGACACTCCCACCCCCAAAGTCTAGCCACAGTCCCGCTCAACATCCCCTAGCCTCATATCAACCAGTCACCCCCTAGAAACTCCAAAATAACTTTCACTCAGAAAGTCACCCCAGACCCTCCCCCAGAGAGACTGCTGGGAGCCCTCCATCCTCGGCAGGGCCCGAGGGGACACTGACCTGTGACCTGGCCCACGTTGGCACACCTGTGCCTCCTGCAGTTGGTCCAGAAGCCCAGGTAGCCAGTGTAGGGGCCCTGCAGGTAGGCCATCCGCCCATCCCCCACACTGAACATCAACAGGGTGGCCAGGATGATGAAGACGAAGCACCAGCCTCGAAGGATGAACTTCCGGTCCTCCTCCCAGGAAATCAGGTACTCCACTTGTTCCGCTGGGAAATTGCAGAGTTTTGTTGTTGTTGTTGTTGTTGTTGGAGGGAAGACTGGATCATTCTTCCTTTTCTTCATGTTTTATTCCATCTCCATCATCTTCTACACCCTCACTCCCATCACCTCCTCCCCACCCCCAACTGTTCCTACCGCATTCCCTGCCTCCTTCCAAAGCGAGCCCCACACGAAGCTCAAAGGGACTCGTTTTGTACCTCTACCCCTCTTCTCCCGTCCATGTTCCCCATCTCTGCAGCCATGACACCATGAGATCCAGAGTGCCACACACTTGTGACCCTATCCACCTTGCCACTGCTGCTTCCTATTTGCTCTCTCTCACCTCCAAACCCACCAACTTCCCAGGGGTTCCCTCACTCCCAGGGCCTCACCCCCTCAGTGGCTGCTCCCTACTTCCAACACTCATCTCCTGCTTTGGCCCAGCTCCTCCCTACCCATCCAGGAGGTTTCCAGGTCAATATCATTGTTTCTCCACCTTCTCCAGAAGCCCCAGCCTTCCTCCCAGACCCCCACCCAGCTCCCAGGCAGGCAGCCTGGAGCAAATGCCAGCTGCACCCCTCACACACACACCAGCCCAGCACAGACAACTGATTAACGCCTCTGCCAGTCTTCTGCCACACCAAACTGAGGGCCATGTCTTCTCTGAGACCCCCAAAAGAAGTGAAAGAAGATAAAACAGAGGAAGGGAAACAGGGGAGCAGGAGAGACAATGAACTGAAGGACTAAAAGGAGTAAATGGATCCTGAAGAGGCAGGAGGAGGTGAAGGGAGATGCCAGTGGGAAGAACAAGATCTAGTTTCAGATCTCGGGCTCTCTAGAAACAGGTAGAATTCATTTCAGATGTGTTGCCCAGGCCTGGCTCCTCGCTCATCTAACACAACCCCTCCCCCATGGCCCAGACCTTACACTGAGTCCCCTCCCCTCCCCCCCACAACACCACCAGCCCAGCCCCAGACCTCAGGTCACTCACAAAAGGCCAGCGTGGAGCGTGAGGCCATGACCAACGTCCCACCACCCTGGAACCCCTATAACTGTCATAGAACCTACCCTGCCCCCAGCTGCAGGCCGGATTGAATCCCTGAGCCCTGCCTGTGGACAGCAGGAGAAACTTGGAAACATATACCAAGGCAGAGAAAGGGAATGCTAACAGATGGAGCCTGAACCCTGGAGAGACACCCACAGGCTTCTGGGTAGCCGTGGCAGTACCCAGGAAGAGAAATTGAGGCCGTTGGCTAGCTGAATCCACCAGAGCCCTGCCCCTGCCGTGACCTTCCCCATGTCCCAGGAAGCCCCATCTGACCCCCAGAGACCTCAGCCAGCCCCTCCCAGCACCACCCAAGCTGAGACCCCAGGCTTTCTGCCAAGTACTTATAACCCCCAGGTTAGTACCTGTTAGGATCCATTGCGACCATCCCAGGGGACCACGTGGAGGCAGGCAGGCACAGGAGGAAGATTATTATAAGGTTTATGAGAGGGGCCATGTCTCCCCCAGGAGAGGGAGCAAATATGGCATCTGCCCTTATCCAGGTAGGTAGCTCTGAGGTCGGTGTGCAGGTAGGTCTGGGCCGAGAATGGGACTGGCCAGCTCTATGGTGGGAGCTCTAGGGCAGGGAGGAGTTCAGGTCTGGTTGGAGCTGAGGACTGGTGGTGGGGAACAGTGCTAACAGACCCAAGACTCTTCACCCTCTGTCCAGAGTCAGCAGGTGAGCGCCCAGGAGCCCCTGCAAAGTATCCTCAGCCGGCGAGTGAGCAGCCAAGAGCATTCATCAGCCCACAGCCACCGCCGGGTGAGCATCCAGGAGCCCCTGCCCAGCATTCTCAGCCGGCCAGTGAGTCTCCAGGATTCCCCACCGGCCCTAGGCCGCCGCCGGGTGAGCATCCAGGAGCCCTCGCCAGCCTCCAGCTACCACAAATTCAATCTCCAGGATTCCCCACTGGCCCCCAGCCGCCGCCGGGTCAGCATCCAGGAGCCGCCAGTAAGCTTCTTCCCATCCCAGTCCAATATCCAAGACACCTCACCCATTTTCCACAGTCACCAAGCCAGCATCCAAGACACACCACCTGTCACCTACAACCGCTGGGTCAGTGCCCGAGACTCACCTTCGGTGTTACAGGAGCATCAAAGCACTTACCCCCTGAACAATGTCCAATTCAAGTCCCCCTCCGGGCCAGCAAGTACCCAAGCACCACCCAGCCAAGTGCCACCAAAAACCAAAAAGGTCAGCCTCGCCGGCAAACAGACCTGGCCCCAGGACAACATCCCCTCAACAATCAGCCAGGGCTCTCGTGCAACCATCCAAAGCATGGGGTCACTTGCCTCGGACTCTGATGCGACCTCAAGAGAAGACCACAGCTACCAACGTGACCCAGTCACCCCGAACAGCACCATACAGTACTTGGCAAGGCGTTCCACAGGAATCGCGTATAGCGGGTAAGAGGGCATGCCCAGCCGAGCTGCCAAGATCTGAGCTCCAGTACTATGGGAGGAACAGCAGTCAAAGGTTGGGGACTTGCTGGGTGCCTGTGGCTCACACCTGTCATCCTAGCTACTCAGGAAACTGAGGTTCTCAGTTCAAAGCCAGCCCTGGGTGGGGAAGTCTCTGAGACTCTTTTGTTGGTGATGGGGCTTGAACTCTGGACCTGGGCACTGTCCCTCTTCAGCTCAAGGCAAGCGCTCTACCCCTTGAGCCACAGCACCACTTCTGATTTGCTGAGTGGTTTATTGGAGATAAGAGTCTCATGGTTTTCCTGCCCAGGCTGGCTTTGAACCACGATCCTCAGATCTCAGCTTCCTGAGTAGCTAGGATTACAGGTGTGAGCTACTGGCACCTGGCTATGTGAGACTCTTCTCTCTAATGAAACACCAAAAAAAGCCAGAAGTGAGCTGTGGCTCGAGTGGTAGAGTACTAGCCTTGAGCAAAGTAAAGCCCCAGGACACACACACACACACACACACACACACACACACACACACACACACACACACACACACACACACACACACACAGAGTTAAGGACTAGAAGGATGCTGGATTAGAAACCAGACATCATGGCTGGCTGTTGCAGGTATAAGGTAACTCTGAGAGAGGGTGGACCGGACAGACAGGGCAGGTGGGTCAATGCTGATGGTCTGGTGGCTGGGCAGGGCAGGTGGGCCAGCGCTGATGCTGGTGGCTGGCATGTGATCTGTGCAGGTATCGGGCAATGTACAGTCGCCAGTCACTGCTGCCCATAGGCTGGAGGCTGCTTCACGAGGCCAGGAAGATCAGCCGCCAGCTGAGCCTGGTGCTGACCCTGGCTGGCATGCTGATCCTCGGCCTCATCTCGCTGGGCCAGCCCTGGGTCCACTTCCAGGTGCCACTGATGCCCCCTGGGGGTCCCTCGAGACCCCCAACCATCGCCATCGACACCATCCTCTTTGTGCGATGTCCAGACATCTCCTGCATGCACGAATATGACCAGAATGCATGTAAGGCCTGCCCTGGCATGGACTGGTGTCTCCCTCCTTCCCTGGGGTGGCCAACCCAGCTCTAGGGTGACCCTCACCTGGCAGGTTGCATATGTCAATTTCCATTTTCTTAAAGGAGAATCCTTTTCATGGGATAGGAGGAAGGAGGGGTGACACCTCCACCCCCTCCATGCCCAAAGCCTTAAAGACAGCCTTGGTGTTCTTGATATCTTCCCTTCCTCAGACCTGCTGGACCTTGCCTGGGCCTTCCTAGTTATATCCAGCATCACCTGCTTCTGTCTGTTTGTGGGCCTCATCAGCACCATCTTCTTCACCAGCTCCAACCTGCCCATGCTGGATTTTTTCCTCTTCATCTGCAGCATCATGTCAGGTGCAGTGCCAAGATCCTGCCCCTGGGAACCCAACTTGTTCTTCTTCACTTGTTTCCAACCCGGGCATCTGAGAATGTCAACCCCAGTCCAGCTCCAGCTCCATCACCCTGTAGACCTCACTCTCCAATTCCTCCCCACCTATTCCCAACTCTGAGCTCTTTCCCAGCCATAAAACATCTACGTGCTCCCCCAGGCCATCCCCAGCACAGCTTCAGCTCCCAACCTCTGCCCCGCCGCCAACCTCATCCCCAATCCCGTCCACCCACAGCAATCACCATCTCTCTGAGCCAGTTTTCTGTTCAGTAGGATGAGGGGTAAAGCTTCCTACCATGTGGGGATGTACCTTAAGAAAAAAAGGGGGGCCGGGCGCTGGTGGCTCACGCCTGTAATCCTAGCTACTCAGGAGGCTGAGATCTGAGGATCGTGATTCAAAGCCAGCCCGGGCAGGAGAGACCTTGAGACTCCTATCTCCAATAAACCACCAGAAAACCGGAAGTGGCGCTGTAGCTCAAGTGGTAGAGCGCTCGCCTTGAGCTGAAGAGCTGAAGGACAGCGCCCAGGCCCAGAGTTCAAGCTCCACAACCGACAAAAAAAAAAAAAGAAAAAAAGGGGGGTCCGGAAGTTAGTCAACTAGAGAAGCAATGAGCAAGAGCCGGGGGGCATACAACTCTGAGCAAGGGTTCTCACACATCCATCCCTGGCCTCCCACCCTCTGTACTCTCACCTCTGTGCTCACACAGGGACCAGCATCGTACTGGCTGTCCTGTTCTACCTACTACAGACCAACAAGTATATGCAGGAAGGCATGACCTACACTCTGGGGACCAGCTTCTACTTGGCTTGGACAGGCGTCTTCCTCTTCCTCATCACCGGTCTGTGCTGGATTGGGGGCAGGCTGAGTTATGGTTCAGGAATAGAGATAGGTGTTGTGTGGGGAAGAAGAGAAATCCAGGGCCGGGTAGGATGAGACTGACATGGGAGACAGGGTTGGGAACACACGTGAGGCTGGATGTAAGGATGGGCCAGGGTTTGACACCAGAAGTGAGTTAGGAAGAGGGCAGGGGGTGGAGTCAGGTTGGGGTTTAAGGGCATGATCAGGGGACAGTTTAGGGGATAAGTCATGGGGTTAAGACACAGCGTAGGGCCCATGGGATTGGGCTAGTGAACCGTCTGTCCTCTGTCTGTCTGTCTCTCTTCCCCTTTGCTCTCCCAGGTTTCTTCTCCTATCTGAATTACATCAATTTCTGGTCCATCCTGGCAATTCAGGCAGTCTGGACTTAGGCCATGGGATGACCCCACTGCTGGACGGCTCTCGTGGCTCCTCGTTGAACACCTGACAGGCCTGCTCCATATCCCCCACCCTTGACAAGTCTCCTATTTTTTTTTCAGGAGCCCCTACCATCCCTTACCAACGTACATTAATAACTTGTATTTTTAAATAACCAGTATTTTCTGCTCAGAATGTATTTAGTTTAGCTCTGCGCCTTGAAGCCTTCTGTGGAAGTGCCCTTCCTCTTGTGGCATCCTTGGGTAGAGACAGGGAAGGGACTCAGACATGAAGGACCAAGATACACAGCAACCAAGAGAAAGGGGCCTTGGTGCCTGGCACACAAAGGGTACAGTGTCTGATGAATCACTCATTCTCTCCCATGCCTGGTCTTCAACCTCTTAGCTTTGTGAGTCTGCAATAACTCACCATTCCTGGGAAGATTCTCCCCACGCCTCCCTCTACCTTCACCCGCACCAGCACCCAATCCTCACCTCATCTTTCTTCTCCCAGGTCTGTGAAAAACAGCTTTTTCCTTACATTACAGGTGTTGAACTCAGAGCTCTGAGCTTGCTAGGCAAGGACTCTACCAAATGAGCCACACTCTAGCCTTTTTTCATTTTCAGCGTCAAAGCTTTTTTTTTTGTCAAATGGTCCCATCTTTAGATTAAGACCCAGCCACCCAAGTAACTAGAATTACAGGGATAAAACACCATACACACCACTTCCAGTTTTTTGTTTTACAAAATAATATTCTTGCCCAAGCTGGTCTCAAACCAAGATCCTCACATCTCTACCTCCCAAGTAGCTGAGATTGTAGGCATGAGCCACCACTCCCAACATGTGCAGCAGCTTTTTGAATACGGTTTGAAGCTAACAGCCCCTTGTTAACAGGGTGGTGTTAAAACTCAGTTACAAAATTCTGTCATTGCCCAGGTCCCCCCAAAGGGCCTTGGCTGAGGGCACCCCTCCGTCTCCTTCTCACTGTGGTTAAAGCTGCCACGCTTGGAGTCTCAGCTCTGCCACTTCCTGGCTTGTGACCCATAGCGTCCCAGTTCCCTCATCTGTGAAGTGAGTGATGCTGGTATTTTAATCTACACTGAGTTTAACCCAAATGCCTGTCCTACAGTATGGCAGTTAGCAGTGTTGCTCATACTAATCCTTGCTCTTCTCTCCAGCAAAAGGCTGTTCTTTTTTTTTTCTTTTGCCAGTCCTGGGACTTGAACTCAGGGCCTGAGCACTGTCCCTAAGCTTCTTTTGCTAGAGCTAGCACTCTACCGCTGGAGCCACTGAGCCACTTCTGATGTCTATTTATGTGGTACTGAGGAATCGAACCCAGAGTTTCATGCATGCTAGGCAAGCACTCTACCACTAAGCCACATTCCCAGCCCCTTTTGTTCATTTTTAAATATAAGTGGAGCCACAACTATGTGCCAGATGCTGGAGCAATTGTTTCAGCAGAGGCAGAAAATGATGTCCATAAACAATGAAATAAAAATAAGAGGGCTGGGTGGGGTAACTCTATTATAGTCAGATGATCTGATGGACAGAATAGAGCCACATGGATTGGGAGAAGAGCTCTGAGGAGAACACAGGACGTGCAAAGGTGCTGAAGCACACAGACACTAGCAGGTTCCAGAAACAGAAAGAAAGCAAGCCAAGGCAGAGAAAAACAGACATCAGTAGAGGCGTGGTGGGCCTTGGTCAGACCATGCATTGCCTTTCCTTGGAAGTACAATAGGAGCCGGTGATGGAATGTCTGTTGTCCTTACGAGAAAAAAAAATCTAGGCCTTTTTTTTCCTTTCCCCTCAGACTACTGGGTTCATGCAAGGAATATCCCCACTAACAGGAAGAAAAGAACCCAAATGACCCAGGTATGAGCTAAACAAAGTAGGCACTCTTTGATTAATGAATAAATGGATTGCCTATACACGGTGAGACAAACAAAAAAATTGTATTTCCCCTAATGTGTCCTTAGCAATCAGAAGTGTGACACAGCTTGGTGACCGCAGGTGAATTACAGTAGAAAAGTTTCTGTTTAATTTGGAAATCCTAACCGTTGAAAGATAGTTCTCAGACCTCCAACAGTACCAAGAAGCCAGAAGCCCTGATTTTAAGTCATCAAAACCCAGGGTGGACACAAAGCCCTAAGACCCAGCCTCCCCACTCAGGCCCCAGCTTCCTCCCTCAGACCCAGGAATCCAGACCCAAGCCTTCTTCCTCAGACCCGAGGGGGTCCAGGCTCCAGTCTCCTCCCAGACCCAGGGTTCTGAGACCAGGCAGCTCTCCCTGCACAGCCCCACAGACGCAGAGGCGAGCGGCCTCTCACAGCGCATGCTCAGTCTGTAACTCCGCCAAGCGATACCTACCCGGGACAGTCTCTGTCAATCTCTCATGGCCCCGCCCCCCTCACTGCGGCTGGATCTCTGTTTGGGTCTTTCTATCTTGGCCCCGCCTCCGGCGCAGAAGCTCTCACCCTGGTCCCGCCCTCACTCACTCTCCGCGGTCCTCATTAAGCGCGGCCTGGAAATTGCCTGATACGCCTGGTAGACAAGCGTTCCAGATATGTTATTACTCACTTGCAGCCTCATGTAGAAACAAGTTTTGTCTATCCTTCTCAAGAATATCCCAGAGAAACGCGAATTCTTTCTTTTGCCAACGTCAAAGCGCGGTTCTGATACAGGCGAATACGTCGGACAGCTAGGGGCGGAGCCTGATGGTTGGCGGGTACTATATAAAGAGGTCTCGGGGCCTTCTCGGCGCCTTTTCGGAGAGGAAAGCTTGGTGAGTGTGGCCCTTTCGGGTTGCCTTAACGCCTTCGGTTTTTTGTTTTTGTTTTTTTTTTTTTTTTTTGAGGGGCAACTTGGGGATAGGAGATTCACTTGTTGAGAGGTTCCCGCGTCCGTGGCTGCACAGAGAAGCCCTATGCCGGACGCACGGTGTCGGGGTCCTTCAGGGCCTCAGCGAGCGCCCTCAGGGTGGAGCCTGGGGGGTCCCCCACACAGAAGCAGGATTGGCGACTCCTGCCTCGTGGGGCGGGGGGGCGCGCTTGTCGGCCAGCCAGGCTTCCCTGCGGGCTGTGCGTGTCGCCCCCAAGTCTCCCGGCTCCGCCATCTTGAGCTGTGCAGGGAGGTGGCCCCTGGCACGTGGTGACTGCCAGCTCGGGAGAGCCCTGCGCCTGTGCGCACGCCGCCCGCCTCCCTAGACGATCGAACCTTTTCGCTCTTTTCGGTCCTAGAAGCAGGCATTTCTGTGCGACCTAGACCCAGGACTGAAACGGATGGAAGAAGAAAAGGTTCTGAGGTTCCCGCCCTGGCGGAGTCAGAAGACCAAGCGCCTAGGGAGACATGAGTCTCGTGAGTCAGGTAGGAAAAGACCTGGGAAAAGGAGTAGGAGAACGATTTCCACCTATAGAATAGGTCTGGGTTTACACCCTTCTGGGATATCCGATTTTGAGGGACAAAAGTCCTCTGGCCGGTAGAGAGCTAACTGACTTTACTTCGAGAAGCACCCAAAAAGAAAACGATAGGTTTCTATCCCGCCGGTTTCCTTTTTTTTTTTTTTGTTTGTCGGTGGTGAGGCTTGAACTAGGAGCCTGGGCGCTCGCTGACCTATTTTGCTCAAGGCTAGCACTCTCTACCACAGCACCACTTCCGGCTTTGTGGTGGATAACTGGCGAGAAGAGGCTCACGGACTTTCCTGCCTCGGCTGGCTTTCAACCCTGATCCAGAGATCTAGCCAGGATTGCTGGCATGGGCTACCATACCATCGCCCTCCTGAGGTCCTAACAGTTGTAGCATTTTACGGTAGTTGTGCTTGGAATTTCTATCCCTGACAGGGCCCTTGTAGCCTTTGATAGGACTGATTTCCATATCCTTTTTTTTCCCCAGAAGCTGTTGGCCCATTCTCATGAGTTTCGTTAACTGTTGACGGTTACTAGCAGGTACTGTGGGGTGCACCAGGGTTTTGTTTATGTGGTGGGTTTGGCTGTCCAAACCTGGAGAACTCCCAGTGAACCCATGACACTGGGGAAGCTGGGGCAGCTGAGGATTTTGCATTTATCCATTCCTACATTCTATTAGTTTGGCTCCCCCTTCCTGAAGGCAGCTGGCCTTCACCTGGCTGCAAAGAGGGACCAGGGCTCCCATGATGTCCAGCACTGGGCTCTGAGCATCCCTGAGGACATAGTGCCCCCCCAGGACCTTTGACACCTGGGGGTCTGAGGGGCCCCAGTCATGTTCTCCTAGACCAATGGGTTGTTGGTGTAGTACTGAGTCTTTCCTGTGTTACAGGTATGGCATGAAGCTGCTTCAAGAGATCATCCACATACTCAAGGTGAGAATCCTTGCCTTAGTCCCTCATCCATCAGGTCAAACTTGGGTGACTGCACAGCAGGTGTTTCTGAGACATAATCAGTTGGGCCTGGGTCCAGATCTTAAGCTCTGCTGTGCATAGGTTTGGAGATGCTCATTGAACAATGTACCGAACAGCACTGCCTCCTGTCACGCTGCACCTTTGTGCAAGGCCAAAGTGGCAGATTTTCCCTGGAGATTGTTTAGCAAATGGTTGAAAAGAGCTAAATGATACTGTGGGCGTGTGCCTGTTAGAGCATGTGTCTTCAAGCTCTGGGAAACTTTCCACTTGGGCAGAGAAAGTAAGAGGAGAAGAAGAAGAAGGCAGGACAGGGAAACCTCAAACAGGTGTCCCTCCCACCCAACGCCATCCTAACAGAAATGCCCTGCTCCTCATCACCTGCCAGGTGCTCTTGAGCACCTCAGCTGGCTAGTATGACATAGCACATAATGGCACTTTTCTGCACAAGGTCTTAACTGTTCCTAGTTGCTAAATGGTAGTGTACTTAAGTAGTAACTGAAAATGAACTCCCTAGATCTACCCAGCAGGGTCCTGGCAAAAGGCAGGCATCCCAGCCTTGCACCCAGGGAAGGTTGGAAGCATTGGGTGTGGGGAGACCAGGCCTGGAGTGTGGGCAAAAGCCATCAAGGATATTTTCTTTTTTTTTGGTCCGGTCGTGGGGCCTGAACTCTGGGCCTGGGCGCTGTCCCTCAGCTCTTCAGCTCAAGGCTACCGCTCTACCACTTGAGCCACAGCACCACTTCCGGCTTTTTTCTTTTTGCTTATGTGGTGCTGAGGAATCAAACACAGGGCCTCAGGCATGCAAGGCAAGCACTCTACCACTGAGCCACCTTCCCAGCCCCGATCAAGGATATTTTCATTAGCCTTTAAAAGACAGGGACAGAGTTGGGGTTGGGCGCTACATAGGCCAGATCTTGCTTCATGGCTCTCCCTCTCTGCTTCCTTCCAGAAAAGCCACCTTGGAGGGCTGGTCCCTTGCTAACCCCAAGGAATCAAGAAAACGGCTGCCATTTACTTCCCAGATCTCTTGAGTGTCTGTCTGCCCTGTGTCCTTCAAGACTACAAGTGGCTCTGAGATTTGTGGAGACCACTGGGGCCCCTATGATGTCTAGCACTGGGCTCCGATGGCAGGTTGAGGACATCATGCTTCCTGGGACCTTTGACACCCAGTCTCTGAGGAGGGGAAAAGTCAGGATGCTGAGCTTTCCTGCCTCCCACCAACCTCTTACCCCCTTCTTACTGCCTACAGGTGTGCTCCAGAGGGCCAGGCCCCACAACCTGCCAGGTAAGAGCTGCTGGGGCTCTTAAAAGATGGGAGTCACATTGGCTTTAGTAATAACACTTATTCTGCTTCAAGTTTACCTGGTTTTAAAGACCTTACTTACATCTGTTTGCAGAAACTTACATATTGGAATGTTTTTACAGTTCCTTTGAATGTATTGCATCCACAAAAGCATTGTTTCCTGTATTACCTCAAACATACATAAACTAGCATCACACAGTTTCTCTGAGATGTTTCTGTATTCTGGAAGCTGAATATTAAATATTTTTCCATTCAAACAGGTGGTGATAGAAATAATGGGACTTGGACTGTTTCAGTGTTTAGACAGGAAAATCCACTTCCTTGTTTCGCGATGACCTAGATAGAAGAAAATTTAAAAGGATGGGAGTCAGTAATGATGCTTGTATAAACCCCAGTGGGGTGACATCTACCTGCAGTAACAGCCCTGAAGCTGGGCTGGAGGGGGTGGGGTGGGCTCAAGGCTGGTCTTGTGAGACCTTGTCTCTTAAAGCCAACCAAAAAGAGTGAAAATGCTGTGGGGTGGGTAGGGGGTCTCAGGGCTACACTTGGGGACCCCCATGATGTCCAGCACTGGGCTCTGACCACCCTGAGGACATGGTGCCCCCTGGGAACTTTGACACCCAGAGGTCTGAGGGGTCCCACTTAGGAAAGGCGAGGAGTAGGGTGAGTCTCTTCCTGCTTTCCCATTACCTCCTTTCCTTCACACAGCCCTTCCTGGACCTCTTGATCCTGCCCTAAAGCAACTGGGGCCATGGGTGTCCATCCACATGGGCGCCAAACTGCTGGCCACCGTGCAGCCCTTCCAGCAGAGCCCCAGTGACCTTGGAGCTGGCCAGCCCCCCGGAGCCTGTCCATACCAAGGCACGGTCTTCATTTACCACCGAGACACTGTGCACTTGGGCGTCAGCAAGGAATCGTTCCTGTGATGCGCTGCCCTTCCTTCCTTGGGCCCACATGAAGGGGGTATCCAGCTGCCCACAGCAGTGCACCCTCAGGAGTCAGCCTGCTGGTCTGCCATCATGCTGCTGTTAAGCCCATGTGACTTTGGCTCAGGAGAGGCCCCGTCCCAGTCCTCCCTTGTCCTCAGCCCACTGTCCCTCTGCTTTGCTTTGTACCTTCCCTTTGGAAGCTTGCTTGGCTGGGCTTCCTGGGGTGCCTGAGGAGCCCCAGCATGAGTTGGGTGTGGGTTTAGGGATGCTGGGTAACCAGTACTGCACAGGTGCCCATTAAATAGCAGGTGCATCACCCTTTGAGCTGTGGGTCTTGACTTGGTCCTGCTGTGGTCTTGGGGTGTTGAGCGGGGCCTGGCAGACAGGGTGCGCCTGGGCTTGCCCACCAAAGGATTTGTGGGAGCCAGAAACAATCCCAGCCTCCTCCTAGAGCCAGAAAACACCCAACAGTGGTCCACGTTGGAGGCTCTAGTGGTGTATGGCCCTTTGGAAGTGATTAAATAACACACGACAGCAGGGTGGGGCCCCCCAAGTGGCCAGCAGTGGTGGATGGAGTCCCCCCCCTTGGTTTTGGGCAGGCCAGAGTTGTCCCCTCCATGAGGAGTGGTGCTCCTGCCAGGATGGGGCATGGTCCCCACAGTCACAGTGACACTAAGTACTGTCCACACTGGGTGCAGCCACTACAAGGCTGGAGGCATGTGTGCATGTCCCAACCCATAAACAAGTATGGCCTCATCCACGGGGACCCCACCCTATCCTCCCTCCCCAGGCGCAGTAAGTGACAAGCCAGAGCAGCAGATGAGCACACTTGTTGGGGTCCAGGGGCAGCTGGGGAGGAGGGACTGCCCCACTCACACGGCTCCCCCCAAAGCCCGCAGACAGCTGGGCCTCCAAGCAAGGAGGCCAAGGCCCAGGCTGAGCACTGCCAGCACGGCCACAGCTCCAGCCAGCAGGGGTATCGCTGTGGCTGCTGCCGGAAGAACATGGGGGTTGGTGTCAGGGCTTGGAGGTTCCCCACTCCCACCAAAGCGCAAGGGGCTGTCACCTGGGGGGGTGGCAGGATCAGAGGAACCTTGGCAGCGGGCCCCCTGCACTGGAGGCCGCGCAGGCGCAGTCAGCCGGTGGAAACGCCCCAGAGGGCAGGGCGCCGGGCACCCAGGGAGGCTGAGGGGCAGCGGCGGGCGGGTGGTGTCATTGCGATAGAAGAGGGAAACCGTGATGTTCCTGCCGGGGGGAGAAGATGGTGGCATTTGCCCCTGCCATGGATTACCATCAGGAGGTAAGCTGTCACGCACACCCGCCCGTGCCTCACCCTCCATCATCTTCTGGGTCCCTGAGGCACCTCCGGAACTCAAAGGCCAAGCAGGCGGCATAGGGCGGCGGCGGGGTCTTTCCATCATAAAGTCCCAGGGCCCCCAGGAGTGCCAGGATAGTGCTGTCATGCTGCAGGCGTGCGGAGGGCTGAACTCAGCTCTTCCATGGGCTCCCAACTTCCTTGGGCCCTCTGAGGGGCTGTCCTGTCCCTCCAAACTGCTCCTGTGCTGTGGCCCTGAGCTTCCTCCAGGGCCACCACCCTCGGCTTAGCTTCCCCTCCCTCTGCCCTGCGCACTCACAGCTGAATACATCACCATCTTGAGGGGCAGGCCCAGGCGCTGGGCCCGAGAGAAGTTGCTGAGGATGGCATCGAGCAGGATCCCTGGGGGCAGAGCAGAGGGCTCAGACCATGCCCCTGTGCCCAGAAGGGTGTGGCAGCCTCCCCGTCCACACCTCACCCCCTGTCAGCTGGGCCTTCTCTGCTGCCCGGGGTGGGCCCACATGGGCCCCGATATCCAGAGCTGAGATCTGTGTCAGTGTCCGCAGAACATCTGGGGAGGCCCATGCCGGAAGGGTGAGTCCGTGTGCCCGCTGCAGGAAGAGGGGCGCAGGCTTTTAGGAAGGTCTACAGCACCCAGAAGAGCTGAGCAGCTGTGCAATTTAAGAACAGGGCAGGGAGGCTGGGCACTGCTGTCGTCCTGGCTGCTCAGTAGGCTGAGACCTGAGGGTCCCCATTCAAAACAAGCCTGGGTAGGGAAATCCATGGGACATATCTCTAGTGAACTACCAAAAAAGTATGTGCCAGCCTTGATTGGAAAGGCTAAAGGATAGCACCTAGGCTCCCAAATTCAATCCCAGTATCTGCACCAAAAAAAAAAAAAAAAAAGGATAAGCAAACTATGAAAGCATCCTCTTTAGGTTTTTTGTTTTTGCCAGTCCTGGGCCTTGAACTTGGGGCCTGGGCACTGCCTCTGAGCTCTCTGAGCTGCTTTTGCTCAAGGCTAGCACTCTATCACTTAAGCCACAGCACTGCTTCCAGCCTTTTCCGTGTATGTGGTACTAAAAAATGGAACCCAGGGTTTCATGCATGCTATCAAGCTCTCTACCACTGAACCACATTCCCAGCCCCTCTTTAGGTTTTGAGGTCAGCTGCTGCTCAGCCTTTCTGAGCTTTTCTTGCAGGAAGAACTGCATGGCCTGACCTCAAACCCAGAGGTGTGGCCAACATACGGGGTGGCAAACACCCACATGTGGGGGGCTTGTGGCCTTCCCTGCCGGGAAACTGAGTCCCAGCAGGCTAAATCACTTTGCCTGAGGAGACCTAAGTGACCCTTGGCAGGGAAGAAGCAGGGGCTCACCTGGCAGATGAGTGTATCCAGAATTTTCCACGCCTTGCGGAGGGGCTCTCCGACCAGTGTCAGCCCCGTGAAGTTGCTCAGGCGAGTCAGGAAGTCCTGGGGGCACAGAGCTGGGTGAGCCCCGACAGATAGTCCATCCCAACACCCCTCTCCAGTAGGCCCCCACTCACCGTCCAGCCCTCCAGAGCCTCCTGGTACTCTGCAGCCTCCGTGGACTCCCGCAGCAGTTCATGGTATCGAGGACAGCTACGCATGGGAAACCTCAGCAGCTGGGGGAAACTGAGGCTCAGAGAGGCCAGCAGCATGGGGCGGGGAGGGAGAGAGATCATCCAGCCCTGGTTCTCCCTTAAGTCTCTGAGCAGTAATATCGACTGCCAGGGGCTCACAGGTGACTTGCCCTGTCCCTCCCATCTCATCCCTGTCCCTTTCTCTGGCCCTTTTGCCCAATCCGGCTGCTGACCTTGTCCTCACTGACAGGCACCGTGTGCACCGGGATGGGCTTCCAGTCGGCCTCAGGGTTCCCCGGGGCAGCCTCGGGGAACAACCCCGCCAGGTTGGCCTGCGCGCTCTCCAACGTGCGGTCAAAGTCAGTGCTGCGGATGTACACCTGGGACGGGCAGAGCAGAGGTCAGAGGTCAGCGGAGGCTGCCAATCAGAAGCCTCAGATTCACCTTGCCATAGGCTGAAGGGCATGAAGGGGTCATTGGAAGTCAAAATTCAAGGTGGCTTTAATGTCGGAACTTGGGACCAAGGGTCAGATGTCAATGTTAGCAGTGTTGGGTGAGACAAGACCAGGGGTCAGATGGACAGGAGTTGGGGACTGGAGGTCAGAGGTTGGGTAGACTGTCCTCAGGAATCGGCACCTGAGGTCAGGAGAAAGAACTGATCCCAAAGTGAATTAGAGGATGCCAGAAGAGGGAGGGTAGCTTCCCATGAAGGACAGATGTTAGCAGTCAGTACCAGGCTCAGGGCACGAAGCCTGTTTGACCCCCCAGGACCACAGAGAAGAGGAGGGAAGGGAAGAAGGCTGGCACTGAGGAGAGTGAACACATCAGCAGAGAAAAATTCGGGGAATGTGGCTCAGGTTGAGATGAGGTCAGAGGTCAGTTTCAACAGAGGTCAGTCAGGTTGACAGAGGTCAAAGGCCAGAGCTGCAAATGCTCAGCGGGCACAGGGGTCAAAGGTGACGCATAGCAGTACCTCCTCCCGCCGGTACTCAGGACTCAGAAAGGCCTTGTAGCGCCGCCTCAGGAACCTGCCCAGCTCCAGCTGCTGGCGGATCCCCTCCTGGGGACACAGCAGGCCTCAGTGGACCCTCCTCCCCTCCCCTGCCCCTGCCCCACCCCTGCTCCTCAGCTGGCTCCTCACCCGGGTCAGCTGGCCCAGGCCTCGGGGCCACAGGCTGGAGACGGCTTCCTTGTGCGGGTCTGTGGGGTAGGAAGCCAGCGGGGCGCGGTCGCCATGGCGGAACACCTGGAGACAGACAGAGTCAGGGCTGGCTGGGGGGAGGCAGGGGCCAGGCAGGGCAGGGGCAGCTCACCAGAGCCACGAACACCAGGGGTCCCTCGGGCAGGGCCTGGGATGGGAGCAGGAGCAGCAGCACCAGGAGCGGTCCACCGGTGTGGCCCCGAAACCCTGGCCCAGCCATGTCCGCACAGCTCAGACGCTGAGCTCAGCCGCAGTCTGCCACCGCCTCACCTGCTCATTAGCCTCTGCCTGGGCCCCCCTCAAGCCAGCGCAGGCCCCAGCATGCCCCCCGCACCGCCCGGGGCCTCCCCGCAGCCCGGGCTTAACCCATTTCATCTCCACCAAGCCCGAGCAGCTATTGACACCTGCCACCGTCGCCGGCATCTGCCTTGTTTTCCTTTTATTTGATTTTCTATTTTTTAGGGCTGGGGTTTGAATTCAGGACTTTGCACTTGCTTGCCAGGTGCTTTACCACGTGAGCCTTGCCTCTGTCCCTTCTTGGTTTGGTTTTTTTTTGAGATGGGAGCTCATTCCGGGCCTGTCAAACACCCAGACTGCGATCTGTGGGTTCTAGGCTTCCTGTCGTAGAGGTATAGCTGGAATGACACGAATATGCCACTTGGCCCATCTATAGGTAGAACGGCGAGTCTTACATCTGCCAAGGCTGGCCTCAAACCACAATTCTCCCATTCCCAGCCTCCCAAGCACAAGTCACTGGCAGTGTCCTCTGATCATATCCTCCCTCTCCTAGATCCCTTTCAGCTGTCACTTGAGCCACACCTCCAGCTCAGCATTTTACTGTTTGTGTGTGTGCGCGCATGTGCGTGCGTGCACAATTACCAAAATTTGTTTTTTGTTTTTGGGTCCGGTCGTGGGGCCTGAACTCTGGGCCTGGGTGCTATCCCTCCGCTCAAGGCTAGCGCTCTACCACTTGAGCCACAGCGCCACTTCCAGCTTTTTTGTTTTTGTTTATGTGGTGCTGAGGAATCGAACCCAGGGCCTCAGGCATGCAAGGCAAGCGCTCTACCAGTGAGCCACCTTCCCAGCCCTGTTTTGTTTTGTTTTGTTTTTGGTCTGGTCATATGACCTGAACTCTGGGCCTGGACGCTGTCCCTCAGCTCTTCAGCTCAAAGCTAGCGCTCTACCACTTGAGCCACAGTGCCACTTTCAATTTTTTTCTTTTTTGCTTATGTGGTACTGAGGAATCAAACCCAGGGCCTCATGCATGCAAGGCAAGCGCTCTACCACTGAGCCACCTTCTCAGCCCCAATTAACAAAATTTGAACTCAAGTTCTCTCCCTCTTTTTTTTTTTTTTTTTTTTTGGGTCCGGTCATGGGGCCTGAACTCTGGGCCTGGGAGCTGTCCCTCAGCTCTTCAGCTCAAGGCTAGCGCTCTACCGCTTGAGCCACAGCGCCACTTCCGGCTTTTTTCTTTTTGCTTATGTGGTGCTGAGGAATTGAACCCAGGGCCTCAGGCATGCAAGGCAAGCGCTCTACCACTGAGCCACCTTCCCAGCCCCTCTCCCTCTTTTTGTGGGGGCTTGAATTTGGGGAGAGGGCTGGGTGCCGTCCCTGAGTTTTCTTGCTCAAGGCTGGTGCAGTACAGCTGGTGCTGTACCACTTAAACCAAAGCTCCATTTGTGACTTTTTGGTTATTAATTAGAAATGAGTCTCATGGACTTTCCTGCCCAATCTGACTTCAAACCATGATCCTCAGCTCTCAGCTTCCTGAGTAGCTGGAATTACAGGTGTGAGCTACGGGCACCCTGAGGGTCTCTTGTTCAACTTTTTCACTCATGGCTGCTACTTTACTATTTGAACCCTATCTCTAGACCTGCTTTTTTGCTGGTTATTTTAGGGAGACCAGACTGACTCTGAACCATGACCCTCCAGATCTCAGCTTCCTGAGTAACTAGGGTGGCAGGTGTCTGGCTTTCCAGGTGTTTTCTGATTCTCCTGTTACCTAGTCCCATCTATCCTGCCTCATACCCAGAATGCTCTTCTCTGGTCTCCATGGCCACCATTCTGGTTTCCCCGACAACCCCCTCTTGGTTCCAGTGGCTTCTTCCCTTCTGGCTCAGAGGCCTGGGAAGGGAGACAGAGGTCAAGGAGTGTGTGGCTTGAAGGAGTAGATGGCCATGAACTTCCAGGAAGTGAGCAGAGGGGAGAGGAGGGAGGGGAGGGGGAGCAGGGCTGAGGAGGGCAGGGGAGGGTACTGACCTCTCAACTCCTCCCCAGAATGTGACTCTGGCCATGGCAGTGTTGACCATCATCGCCTCCATCTACTTCTTCAACAAGGTGAGGGAGGGGAGGGCAGTTGGGCCCAGCCTGCCCCCCTCCGCCTTCCATCCCCTCACCTTTCTCTGTCTCTGTGGCTCTTCTTCCTCAGGCCCAGCAGTGAGGACACCCCGGCTCCCCAGCCCTGGAGCAGGACCCCCACCCGTCTGACCATGCCCTCGGCCTCTGAGACCAAATAAATGCAACGCCACAGCATGCCTGGCTCCGTCTCTCTTAGGGAGGGGCTGCACCCTTGGATGAGGGGGGCGGGCTGGGGCCTGGACCCCTGGATCTGAGAGGGGAGGGTAATTAGGGAAGCTCCTCAGGCCTGATGGGTAGAGTCTTTCAGGAATGCAGGCCAGGAGGAAGGGAGAGGCCAGGCGTCCACCGAGCCTCAGCCGCCTGCCTTACTCTTCACCCGCTACCTGGGTCTGAACCTTCCTGTTCCCATTAGAGCTGCACATTCTTCCCTGGCAGCCCTGGAAAGTCACAGATTGTGTGACATCTGTCACTATTTCTGGTGTCAACCCCTCTTTTACTTGGGGGAAGGGGAAGAAACAGGTTTGAACACAGGGCATCGCTTGCTAGGCAAGTGCTCTACCATGTGAGCCTTGTCCCCGGCCCTTTTTGCTTTAGTTTTACTGAGGGTCTCTCACACAAGGCCTGGATCCTCCTGCCTCCTCCCACTGGAACTACAGGTGCATGCCACCACACCCAACTTTTCCACTCCCCGCCCCCCCCCCAAGTTTTTAAAAAGAATTTTAGCAAACTCCTGCTCAACTTTTGACATTCCTCTAGACAGAGAAATATCCAGAACCTTCAAAGACAGTCTGCTGACAGTTTGTTTTATTTCCTGTGAACAGTCCCTTTCACTACTTCCCCTTTCCACTCCCTGAGCTCATCCCAGGAATGCATGGACGAAGTCACCCCAGCCTTTTCTTGAGGTTCACCTACTTTCTCTGAAAAGGAGCAATTTCATCTTAACCCAATTATGTGATCACATGGCTCCTGAATGGACTGCATGCTGGTTTTACAGAGAAAGGACTAGAAACCCCCAATTACAAACAGATCTGTTATTCTTAGCACAACTTCAGCTTAGCGCAGTCTGGTTTGATTGGATCACGTATTGAAGAGTCCTGGGTGTGGTTCCACAAGTCACCACACGAGGGCGGAGTCGGACCATTTTCCCAGGCCCATGCGGTCCCAGCTGTGGTTGACCTCAGCCCAAGGAACTTGATTTCCACAAAACCACAGTGCAGCTTCTAAGTCCTGGGGGGATCCAGCGGCTTCCTCTTACCTTCCCAGCGTGGGCTTGCCTGTCAGGGTTTCCTTTTTTTTTTTTCCTTTTTTTTCTTTTTTTCTTTTTTTTGGGGTCCGGTTATGGGGCCTGAACTCTGGGCCTGGGCGCTGTCCCTCAGCTCTTCAGCTCAAGGCTAGCGCTCTACCACTTGAGCCACAGTGCCACTTCCGGCTTTTTTCTTTTTGTTATGTGGTGCTGAGGAATCGAACCCAGAGCCTCATGCATGCAAGGCAAGTGCTCTACCACTGAGCCACATTCCTAGCCTCTTTTTTTTTAATGACTAAACTGGACTTGGGGATGCTGTAACATGACTGTACAGTACATTGAGGTTGAAAACTACCCTCAGAGACCCTAATGTACAGCCAAGGTTAAGAGGGCACTCCAATGCTTTTCCGAAGAGAGGTTTAGCACATTGGCTCACTCCTGTAATTCCAGCTACTCAGGAGGCAGAGATCAGGACGGAGGCTCTAGGATCAGCCTGGGCAAAAAGTTACAGAGGCCACCATCTCCATCAACAAGCAAGGGAGGCCCTTGCCTAGAATCCCAGCTGTGAGTAAGGCAGAGATAAGACAATATAGATCGGCCCAGGCCAATCCTGCCAGACAATAACCCCAAAATATATAGAAAAAAAAGTAAGGCCAGGCGCTGGTGGCTTATACCTGGAATCCTAACTAATCAGGAGGCTGGGATCTGAGGATTACGATTCAAAGCCAGCCCTGGCAGGAAAGTCCATGATGAGCCACCAGAAAACCAGAAGTGGCACTGTGGCTCAATTGGTGGAGTGCTCACCTTGAGCTGAAGAGCTGAGGGACAGCGCCCAGGCCCAGAGTTCAAGTCCCATGACCGACAAAAGAAAAAAAAAAAGTGTCAAACTAGCAAGTGTGAGGCTCTGCATTGGAAATCACACGCCACCAAAAAAGAAAAGAAAAAGTTGGATTTTCCCCAATCACATCAAAGATTCAGGACATGAAATAAAAATTAGCCAGCTTTAAAATGAAGAAAGGCAAATGTAGTTTCTTGGGCCAGGGACAGACAGAAGGGACGTGTGGATTTCCAGCCTTGACAAGACACAGCCAATTGTAGTGCATGACTGTAACCCAGCTACTCAGAGGCCGGGAGTTGGGGGGGGGGGTGAAAGAGGGGATCAGTTCTAATTGACAAGCAGCAGGACTCCTCTCCTCTGTAGCTCCAGAATGGCCTAATACAAGCAGGAATCACGGGGACCCTGGTCCCATCGGCTTGGTCCTGGGCCATGGCTGCCCTCCTAGCTTCCCATCCAGGTCCAGACCTCTCACCGTGTTCTTCTGTCTGTCTACCTCTGTCTCTCCCCCCGCCCTCCCCCCACTACTTCTCCCCTAGAGCTCCAGTTCTGTTTCTGCACCCTGGCCTGGCCTGCTTCACACCTGGGCCCTGCCTCAACTTCCGTCTGCAGCCAAGACTCTGCGACTCCTCGACAGACAGACAGGCAGCCTGACGGACAGGTTCTCACTGAGTTACCTCTCCTGGCTTCCTCTCTCTAGATCTCTTCTTCCCCCTCTCTGGGACCCTGTCCCCTCTCTTCTGTTCCTCTCGTACTCTCTGGGTATGTTGCAGTCGGCCCTTCTGTCTCTCTTCTCTGGACCCCACTCAGCCTGTCTGGCTGCGTTCAATCCAGCCCTACATGCTTTGGAGGTCGAGGAGATGGGGACCCCCCCACCCCACTGTGTCCTCAGGTTCCCACTGGATGGCTCAGCCTCCAAGCCCAGGCCTGGGCGCTCTCCACCTCCTCCCCACACCCGGCGCCTTGGCAGGACCCCAGAACCTGGCACAGCCTTCTCCTGAAGGCCTGGCCCCCACACACACAGAGCAGAGGGTGGAGCCAGCTGCTGGCCCCTGCGAGGCTGAACCCCAGGGGTCTGAGCAGCACCCAGACCTCCCCCAAGTCCAGCCCAGCCTCACGCGCCCCCAACAACTTGAGCAAAAGCAACAGGTGGAAAGGGAGCCAGCAAAGGAAGAGCATGGCCGCGGTGGCCCAAGGCAGCCCCAGCAGTGGGGGGCGCCCAGTCAGCCGGGCCAGCTGCAGCTGGGCCCCCAAGAGGCTGCGAGAGAAAGCCATGACCCCCAGGGGTACCCCAAACCCAAATGCCAGCTGGTCTAACACGGGGCTCCAGGCCCCGAAGCCCTGGCTATGGCTGGGGACTTCTGCAGCCAGAGTCCTGTTAGAAGGGACAGCCAGGCTGGCCTGGTCCCTCCTGGCTTGCAGGGCTGACCCCCCCAGACCCAGCAGAAAGATCCAGAATCCGCCAGCCCAGAAAACCATCTGCCGAGCTGTGTGGTGGCCCAGGGCCCAGGCAGGCTGGCACAGCGAGGTGTAGCTGTCGGCAGCCCCCCGGGCCAGCAGGCGGCCGCTAGCCCAGCAGGTGAAGAAGGACAGGCCGGGGTCCGCGCGGCAGAAGGCGCCACCCAGCGGCCAGCAGGAGCGCGTGCAGGTGAGGCTCAGGGGCAAGAGTGCAGTGAAGGTGAAGTCAACGGTGACTTGGTGGCCAAACCAGGCGGTGGACAAATGGCGCGGCAGGAGGGGCCCAGCAGCCCGGGCCAGCAGGCCATGGCTGGCCACCTCCAGGACATAGGAGGTGACCATCACCAGGGAGTAGAGAAGGACCAGGGCGGCCCAGGGCGGGCCCAGTACCGCAGGGGGTGCCGGCAGCCAAGGCTCCGAAGGGTTCTCCATGGGCCAGACGAGGCTGTGGGGACCCAGAGCCTCCACGTTAGTCACCCCAGTTCTTCCCCCCAAATCTCCATCCTGTACCCCAAGAGCAACTCCACCAGCCACCCAGCCACGGCTGACCTCCCCCCTCTTCATCCCTTGGCCTTCCTGGTCTCCTGGGCCTTGAACTCACTGCCTGGTCACTGTCTCATATATTTTTCCACTCAAAGCTGGTACTCTACCACTTGAGCCATAGCACCACTTTCTGACTTTTTGAAGATAAGTGTCTCATGGCCTTTCCTGCCCAGGCTGGCTTCAAACCACAATCCTCCAATCTCAGCTTCCCAAGTAGCTAGGATGACAGGCCTGAGCACCAACACGCAACCTTCCTATCCTGCTTGACAACCTCACCCCCATCCAGCCAGCACAGCTAGGGCTTCCCCCCATTCCCCAGCCTCCCTGCTTCCAGCCTGTAGCCCACCTCTGACCCTCTTTGCTCCCCAGTGCCTTTGGACAAAGTCCCAGCCCCTCAGCCTGGGAGGGCCCCTCCCGCCAAACCCCAACCACACACACACTCCAGGAACCAGCTCCTGCCCCATGGGCCTGTTAGCTTCTGATCTGAGAAACCCAGTATCCTCAAGTTCAAGGCCTGAGAGCTGCCAGGGAGCTGACCTTCAGACAGCCTGCCCTTCATGTGGGGAAACTGAGGCCCAGAGGAAAAAATCAAATCTCATAGCAAGGCAGATGAGCTCATCATATCTGGGAGCTCAGAGGCCTGGATTGGCAACGGGGCTCTGCTGTCTGTGAACCTCAGTTCACCCTCCCCCCCCCTCCCCTCATGTCTCACCTCACCAGAAGTGGGAGTCAGAAGCCCTCCAGGCGTCTGAGCAGAAGTAGGAACTGGAAGTAGCTCACCAATAGACAGAAGAGGAAGTAGAAGCTGGGGTCTGCCTGAAAACCAGAGACTGTTAAGTGCTGTCTGGGCCTGGACCTCAGTTTCCTCCTTCTTGAATGGAGGCTCTGGCCTGCTCCCCAGGGCACCCCAGGATAAGAAGCCCCTCAGCCTGGCATTTGCAGCCTTTCTTCTTGTAGCTCCACCCACCTCGCCAACCTGCCAGCTCCCACTTCCCTTCCTCCTTTTCCCTCTCCCCCTTCTCCTCCTCTTCCTCCTCCTTTTCAATTCCTGGAGTAAACCACACACCTTCACAAGTGCACCCATATGTGCATACACCAGCATTTGTCCTGTCTCTTCGCCCTGGTACCCATTGTTTTGTCCCATTGATGCACACAACAAACTCTTGTTCATCCTTCAAAATCCAATCCGGTGTCATCTCCTCTGGAATCCCTGACCTATCCACCATTCACCCCATCAAGGGGGCTGAGAATTACCTTCTTCATATGCAGGATCTGGAGCATGGGTTGGACTCATGCTAAGCCTCATGCATCCTGGGTTCTCTGACCATCCAGAGCTCTGCTCAAGGGCCACCTCTTCCAAGAAGGCTCTCCGTGGTCCTCCTCCTTCTTTTCCCGGTTCTGGTGATGATGCATTGTTCTTAATTTCTGCATTACCTGACCACCCCAAATGCTTTACATGGCCCCTCTATGAGAGCTTCATCCACCGGCTGGGTGCCAGTGGCTCATGCGTGTAATCCCAGCCACTCAGGTCACTGAGGTCTGAGGATTGTGGCTCGAAGCCAGCCCAGGCAGGAAAGTCCATGTGAGTCTTATCCTCAACTAGAACTTGTAAGATAATGAATTTGTGTGGTGTAAAGCCCCCAGATTCCTGGCGATTTGTTAGAACAACAGGAAGTGGGTGCACCCATTTTATGGACTGGCACATGGAGTCTGGGGGGAGGGTCTCATAGTCAGCTGATTGCTGGTTATGCCTCTGGGGTGAGGAGGAGGCAGGGAGTTAGGGACAGTCTGCAGGAGGGGCGCTCCCAACCCAGGCTGGCCAAAGAGGAGGCTGTGGTGCAAGGGGCAGGGCTGGTGGTGGAAAAGAAAGGGTACAGGGAGAGGAAGTGGGTGCAGGCCCGGCTAGACCTTGTCCTGGGGCTAAAGTGGGCCTCCAAGTGGCCCAGACGTGGAGTGGAGGAGGGAAAGCAAGGGACCGGAGGCCGGGCCTGGATTTGGGTTTCTGTCAGCTTTTCCCAGCCCTGTCCTTCGCCTCTGCACCCCGTCCCCCCCACACACACCCCTGCATACCTCCGGGTTGAGGGTAGGGTGTGGCTGGGGACTTCCTGGGTCCTAAGTTCGAATCCGGTCTCGGCAGCCTATCCTGGCTCCAATGAGTGAAGTTCCCGTCCCGGGGAGCAGAGCCTACAACCTGCGGGGCGGGGCTGCAGGTGTCAGGAGGTGAAGTCTCCCGACAGCTATTTCCCGACATCTGATGACAGAGTGTCTCCTGCGGCAGGGAACATCTCAAACCAGGCCACGCCGGGGGCGCCGCCTCCCCTCCCTCTTCGCCTGGGAGAAACAGAGGTAGTGATTAAGATGGCATAATTACCTCCCTCCCTCCCGCCCGCCCGCCTGGGAGGCAAATCCTGCCGTGGGGCTGCTCCCTGGCTGTCTCGCTCTCTACTCCCAGCGCTCAGCGCCAGCAGGGTCGCCTCTTACTATGAGCTCCGCCGGACCCGCCCTGGGGCGTTGGCTCCGCCCCTCAATCTAGCTCCTCCCCCTGGAACCTTAGCTCCTACAGTTTGCCCTGCCCCTAAGTGTTAGTCCCTCCCCTGAGGCTTCAGCTCCTCCCCCAAGAAGTAGCCCCACCCCCAAGTGTTAGTCCCTCCCCTGAGGCTTCAGCTCCTCCTCCAAAGGGTAGTCCCGCCCCCAAGTGTTAGTCCTTCCCCTGAAACATCATCTCCTACCCCAAGGCGTTAGCCCTTCCTCTGTTAGTCCCTCCCCTGAGGCTTCAGCTCCTTCCCCCCCAAGATATTAGCCCCGCCCCTAAATGTTAGCTCCTCCCTCGCGTTGTTAGCCCCGCCCCTTAAACGTTAGTCCCTCCCCGCGATATTAGCCACGCCCCCAGATGTCAGTCCCTCCCCTGCGTGTCAGCCCCTCCTCTGGAATGTTAAGTTGCCCCACTCCCCCAGAATGAGTGTACCTCCCACTGGTTTGTCGGTCTTTCCAGTCTGGATTCTTCGCGCGACGACTGCCGTTTACCTTGAAAGGTGCTCTATAAAAGTAATTGAATAGATTCATGGAGTCAGACCAGTCAAATCTTGACTCCACCACTTGCTTGCTGTGTGATCTCATAAAAGTCACTTCACCTCTCTGGGCCTCGAGTGTCCTCGTCTGTGCAAGGGACAGGATCGCAGTGCCGTCCTTCCGGGCTGAGCGCTGGTCTCAGGGGTCCGGACAGGATCAATGGAGGAGCGCCTTGCTTTGGGCTTAGAACCCAACTAAAGACCGTGGCCTCCCGCGGGAGAAGCTTGCAGTGCTGGGAAAACCGCAGGATGTCAGAAGGCGTCGCCGCATTCATTAAGAAATCAATGCGGATGAACCCCTCCCGGGATCCCACTGCATCCAGTCCGCGTTGGCGAAGTGCTGGGAAGCCGCCCGGAGGAGGGCGAGCAGGTGTGCAGCCATGCGCTGCGACACGCGGCCCGCCCTGGGCCCGCGCGGTGGCCCGGCAGGAAGCCAGCCTGCCAGGTGGCACCGCCATCAGAGCAGGCACCCGGCGGAGGAGCCTCGCCCACACCACCAGCCAGCCTCACAGACATCACACATCCTTCTGTGGGAGGTTGCGGGAGGGGAACTGAGGCACGGAGAGTGGCTCAAACAACGTCGTGAGCCATTAAGTAACCTGAGTAAAAAGTTCTCCTGTGCCTCTACGATTCGTATTTGTGCAGGTATTCTGTATATTTGAAATTATCTCCAAATAAAAAGATTTGCTTTTGTTTTTGCCAGTCCTGGGGCTTGAACTTGGCCTGGGCACTGTCCCTGAGCTACTTGTGCTCAAGGATAGTGCTTTACCACTTGAGCCACAGCGCCACTTCCAGCTTTTTCTGTGTATGTGGTGCTGAGGAATTGAACCCAAGGCTTCATGCACGCTAGGCAAGCACCCTACCATTAAGCCACCTTCCCAGCCCAGATTTGTATTTTTTTAAGTTTGGGCGGACCAGTGCCTAGCACACATTTTTCAAGTACAGGAAGAAATTTCGTATTATAATTCAATACATAATTCAGTCACTCAAAATTTGAGAAACATTTCTTTTTTTTTCTTAGGTCCCAGACTGGGACTGGAACCTGGAACTAGGTACTTTCACTTATTGGCTGGTGCTCTAGTTAACTGAGCCATGCCTCCAATGCTGAGAAGCATTTCTTACCAATTTCTATGCCCACTGAGATTTCATATAAATGTATTTCACTTAAAAATAGCTATGAAGAGCCGGGCGCTGGTGGCTCACGCCTGTAATCCTAGTTACTCAGGAGGCTGAGATCTGAGGGTTGCGGTTCAAAGCCAGCCCGGGCAGGAGAGACCATGAGACTCCTATCTCCAATAAACCACCAGAAAACCGGAAGTGGCGCTGTAGCTCAAGTGGTAGAGCGCTCGCCTTCAGCTGAAGAGCTGAGGGACAGCGCCCAGGCCCAGAGTTCAAGTCCCACGGCCGACAAAAAAAAAAAAAATAGCTATGAAGGGGGCTGGGAAGGTGGCTCAGTGGTAGAGTGCTTGCCTTGCATTCATGAGGCCCTGGGTTCAATTCCTCAGCACCACATAAGCAAAAAGAAAAAAGCCGGAAGTAGCGCTGTGGCTCAAGTGGTAGAGCTTTAGCCTTAAGCTAAAGAGCTGAAGGACAGCGCCCAGGCCCAGAGTTCAGGCCCCACGACCGGACCCCCAAAAAAATTTTTTTAATTAAAAAAAATAAAAAAAATAGCTATGAAAGGGCTGGGAAGGTGGTTCAGTGGTACAGTTGCTCGCCTTGCATGCATGAGGCCCTGGGTTTGATTCCTCAGAAAAAGCTGGAAGTGGCGCTGTGGCTCAAGTGGTAGAGTGCTCACCTTGAACTGAAGAGCTGAGGGACAGTGCCCAGGCCCAGAGTTCAGACAAAAAATAAATAAATAAAAATTAAAACAAAAGACAAAACAAAACTATGAAGCCGGGCACCAGTGGCTCACACCTGTCATCCTAGCTACTCAGGAGGCTGAGATCTGAGGATCATGGTTCAAAGCCAGGCTGGGCAGGAAAGTTCTTGGGACTCTGATCTTCAATTAACCACCAGAAAACTGGAAGGGCACTGTGGCTCAAGTGGTAGAGTGCTAGCCTTGAGCTAAAGAGCTGAGGGACAGCGCCCAGGCCCAGGACAGACAAAAAAAAATAGTTATAATCTGCACACAGATCATAACTGTGTTCTGAAAAACTTACTGGGAAGTCAGGTGCATTAACCTGTGTGGCTTCTGACGTCCTACGCTTGGGGCTCGGAACCGGACTACATTTCCCAAAATGCTCATGGGCGAGGCCAAGGGATGGGAAGAGAACTATGAGCTCTGATTGGAGACAGCATAGTTCTGACATTGTGTGTGTGTGTGTGGGGGGGGGGGGGGGCATGGCCCTTAAGATTGCTGGGAAATGTAGGCCAACACCACGAGGAAAGAGAGAGGTGGGACTTACAAAACACTCTTGCTGGCTGCTGGGAAACGATAATCAGCCCCCTTGGCCTCCTGGGGATTTGTAGTTCAGAAAATGGGTCTTTCCCCTCCACCCCCCCAAAGACTCTTCCTGGACTATTAACTTGGGATGACATAAACATGGATCTCAGTCAGCTGCTGTTTCCTCTGGCTTCACAAACCTCAGGTACTCCTCAGAGACTTGGGAGGGCCAGCCCGGTGGAGGAGGTGAGTTTCTCAGTAGGCGACCACAGTTAGAGATTAACCCCTAATGCTACAAATACCCAGGTTCGCTGGATGCATAAACAGCTCTCGTAAATGGGCTCTCTGCTTCCTGCCTCTGCCTTCTTTTTGTGCCCACAACTCTGTCCCTGAACTGGTGTGGGTGGTCCTGGCCCAAACAAGGAGACAGAGACTTATAAGGATCTCAGAACCCCAGACCCTGTGGGGTGTCCAAAACCGGTTCCTGACCCAGGCCTGGAAGGCCAGGGAGGAACAGAGCTGATCCTACTCAGGCCCCACAACAAAATGTCACAGGCTGTCTCCATTCCATCAGTTTCCTTGTGCCCAGTGACCCTAAACACACCAAGTTGGTGCTACCCAGTCTTGCCTACTGTAAGGACAAGGAGTGTTCCCCAGCTGGTAGAAGCAGTCCTGCCCACACGTGCCGTCCTGTCGTATTTCCCTCTCTCCCTCTCCCTCTCTGTACTAGATTTTAAGCTCAAGGCCTTGTGCTTGCTGTAGACAGGCACTCTACCACTTGAGCCAGGTCCCCAAACCCTTTTTGCTTTGTTTTTTTTAGTAGAGGCTTGGTGTTTGTTGTTGCTGTTGTTTTGCCTAGGCTCTGGCCTGGGACAGTGAATCTCCTAGTTATGCTTCCTGAGTAGCTGGGATGACAGACGTATACCATGTCTCCAGTTTTTATTAACTGAGATGCGGCCTTGAAAGCGTTTTGCCCAGGATGGCCTTTGACCTTCCCAATTACTGTCTCCCAAGTAGCTAAGATTACAGGTCTATGCCTCCACATGTGGCTCCGTTCTATGACTCCAGAGAGAGTAAGGGTAAGGGTAAGATTAAAGGCACTCCCCTTTAGGGGATGGCAGGGTGTCTCCTTCCCTCCTTCCCAGATCAGATGGATTGTGGGTGGGGCGGAGGGAGGGAAGGGGCAGAGACTTAGGCCAGTCAGGGTTATATCTCCATTACTGAACTCCAGGGGAGTCCTGCTCCCCCCCCCCCGCCCTCCACGTGCGCCTGGCCGGCCGAGGGGGGGGACACTTGGGGGTCCAGGGAGGGAGGGGAGTGGGGTGGAGCACAAGGGCGGGAACCGGCCCGCTAGAAGGGGAACTCGCAGACGAAGTAGAGGCGCCGATCGCAGTCGTGATCCCACCAGGACCCGTCGTCCGAGGCCTGGGCCACGCAGTTCTCCAGCACGCCGCCGTTAGGTTGGTCGGGACTGAGCGGGTGCGGAGCGGCGCTGGGCCGGGCGCCCGGCTCGGGGCTGGGTGCACGGTGCCAAGCGAAGAAGGACACGCGCTGGCCGTTCTCGAAGAGGTAGAGACCTTCGGCGCGCCGGTCGTGCACGCCCAGCCACACCGGCCAGTTGTAAGGCGCGAGCGCAGCGCGCAGGTACCGCGCCAACGCGTCCATCTGCTGGCGGTCCGCCGGCTGCGCCAAGCTTCCGCCCCGAGCTGCGCACCGCGCCTGCGCCGCCGGCTGCGTCTCGAAGTCACGCGAGAGAAAGAAGCACTTGTGGCCCAGGCGCAGCCCCTTCAGGCAGCCTGCGGGCAGGGCGGGGAGGGAAGAGGGCGTGACCAGAGTGTTCATAGGCGGGCGGAGAAAGGGGGCGTGTTCGTAGTGGTGGTGGGAGGGGCGAGGGTCTGGGCTAGAGGGCAGCGAGGAGGCTGGGTCAGAACTACAGCAACCAATGAGGTGGAGCCAGGGGCTTCGGGGCGTGGTCAGAGTGTGGGCGTGGTCATCCGTTGGGGGCGGGACTTCAGGGCAAGGACGGTGGGGGCGTGGTGCAGTTCAAGTAGGGCCGGGTAGGCTTCTTGGAAGAAGCGTCTCGCCCTCTGCCCAACCCAGTCATTCTGGCCCCAGATCTGCCAACACATTCTAATTTTCTTTTGCTTCCCTGACTTCCTCATGTCTCCATGGCTCCCCCACCTGGCCCGGACCCCCTCGACCTTCGTCACCACGCAGGGCGCGAACTCACCTTCCAAGCGGCCGTGCTCGCGCTCGGCGCGGGCCCGCGCTTCTTGCAGGGTTTCCACGGCGTCCCGGGTGTTGCCAGTCGTCTCCCGCAGCTGCCGCAGCCCCTGGGTCAACTCGACCACGCGGGTGTCCAGTGCATGCAGACGGACGTGCAGCTGATGCAGGCCCGCGTCCAGGCCCGCCAGGCGGCCCACTGAGGACGGACGGACAGGGTGCTCACGGGAGGGGGTTCTGGGGGCGCCACCGGGGATGGGGTGCTACAGGGCCCTAGGACTCCGGAGGGCAGGAGTGAGGGAAGGAAAGGGGTTCTGGAACTTCCGAAAGTGGCCTTTTGGGAGGTCACACCCGTGGTCTGTAAGCAATTGAAAGACCACCCGGCTTCTGGTTACTCACGGATATAAGTGATGGTGTCCTCAGGGGTAGGAGAGGGGCTGGAGCTGGGGGTTGGGGGAGCCTGTGTTGCTTCCTCCTCTTCTTCATCCCCTTGATCCTCCTCCGTCACCCCAGTCCCTTGGCCTTCCGCAGTTGAGGCAGGATTCTCCTCCCTCCTCCCATCCGGCAACCCCAGGGCCTCCTGTAAATGCTGGGCCAAGCAGCAGCCATCAGTCCCGTCTCTCCTCCCCACCCCCCACCCCCCTCCATGGCCTGCTTCCCTTCTCTGAAGCCACCTTCCCATTCTGTCAAATCCTCATTTCCCAAACTCTGGGATGTCCTCACCCCCAAGCCCAGGGGGTTCCCTTCCACCACTCACCTTCAGCATCAAGGCTTCCCGCTCCCGCTCCTCCTCCAAGGCTCCTCCCCAGCCTCCTTCCCACTCCCTCGCAGCTCCTCGAGCCCCATGGCCAAAGCCCAAGAGCTGGAGGACCACCAAGGCCCCGAAGAACCAGTACGCCTGCATCAGGACCTTGGCACCCAAGGTCAGAGGTGTTGGATGTCAGGGCTGAGGCTGGGTTCCCTGAAGACTGCACCCTTGTCGTGGGTGCCAATTGCTAGCCCCCGATCGCCACTTATCCCAGTTGCTTTCTGGTGCCTCTCCTCTCTTCTGATCCCAGAGGGCCTGTCTTCTTGGCTTCTTGGTGTGTGTGTGTCTCCCCGCCCTTCTTGGCTCCCCTGAGGCCCTGCCTTTGTGGCCGGAAACCTCCAACGTTCCAAAGCCAAGATCCCGCCTTGCCCCCCCCACCCCCACCCCTCCTTCAACTTTCCAGAGCTGGCTTCTGCAGGGTTCTTTCCTTCTGCCTGGCCAAGAGCTCAGCAAGTCAGGAATAGAACCTTGCTCTCCAAAGGATCCTGGGGACAGCAGGCAGACCTTTTTTAGGAACCCCTCAGGACCAAGGGGTCGAGGTGGGGTGATGGGACCTTCACCCACACACCCTCCTTCCTCTCTCTCTTGGCCATTCCTGAGGAGGGGGCAGACTTCAGGAGCTTCGAAGGTTGTTATTGCCCAGTGGCCACCATCTTCCACAAACCATTCACAAGCTCCAGGGTACTCCCTCCCTGCCTCCTGTCCACCCACATGGGCCATCCCCACCCACCCAGCCCTTATCCAGGGAGAAGATAAAGTATATGTGCATATCTGTGGGGACACACACACACGCACACACACGCACACACACACACACACACACACACACACACACACACACACACACACACACATATATATCTGGGAGTCAGTGGCTCATGCCTAGAATCCCAGCTACTCAGGAGGTTGAGATCTGAGGATCCTGGTTCCAAGCCAGCTCGGGCAGGAAAGTCCATGAGACATCTCCAATGAACCACCAACACACACACACACACACACACACACACACACATGCTCCACTACAGTGCAACAGATAAGCTCCCAGGATGCAGGGCTGTGCAGAGGGGGGGGGTACCAGGGGTGCAGTGAGCTGTCAGAGAAAATTTCTCTAGGAGATAGAGCAGACAGACATGGGGCTGGGTACAGAGAGAGCTCTAAACCATCCAGGAGCTGCTTCCTCCCAGCCTGGACCACTGCAGTCCCCTCCTCCCTGCCCTCCTCCTCCTCCTTCCTCGGAGCCCCTCCAATCCCGGCTGCCTGCTTGCCGCAGCCAGAGCAATCCTTCCAAACCATAAATCAAATCACATCATTCCCACTCCCCTACCTTCCCATCAGAAGTAGGAGGAGAGCCAAACCCGGACTCAGCCCTCAGCCCAGCCTGCTGCCTAGGGGCTGGGGAAAAGAGGAACCCTTTGTAGCTGTGTGACCTCATCACCCCTGCTCCCCATGTCCCCCCACTTCCATGGTACCGCTCAGGCTGCAGCCTCCCTGCTCCTCCCTACCCCAGAGCTTTTGCATTCTCTTTCCTTCTAGAAGCCTCTCTCCCCAGCTGCTCATCTCTTAGAGGCCTTCCCTAATCACCTTTAGCTAAAAAAGCTTCTGGTATACAAGCTGTTTTTATTTGAAGTGCCCCCCTTTTATCTTCCAGGTATCATTGGGACTGACAAGATCTGCTTGTGGCTTTATGTCTATCTCTTGCCAACGAAAGCAGAGATTTGCGCAGTGCCCTACCCATGAAGCAGGAGATCAGACCCTTCCCTGCGCATAGTAGGTGCTCGCTCAAGCTGTGAGTCTGGCCATAGCCTTTCCAAGTGTGGTAACGGCTTGGTCAGAGGCCTGGAGGTCTGTTCGCACCTGCATTCCCCATTTGGAGGCTGCAGTGAGGATGGAGATGATGGGCAAGCCCCTTGGGGCTGGGGAAGCAGGAGGCCATACTGGGCACACTCCATGCCAGGCCCGTGAGTCACACAGGGCTTTCCCAACTTTGGCCTGGCCACTTGTGCCAGCCAGCACCAAGCATATTAGCCAGGCTGCAAAGGGCCAGCCCTTGAAAGAAGGAAATTGAGCCTCAGACGGGGGGCGCATAGCCCTTTGGAGGTCACCAGTGTGCAGGTAGCCAGCCCAGGCTCTGGCTCCCAGCATGGGAAATGGGTCTGTCCTGGGATATCTGCCCTGGGGTGTCTGAGAGCCCCAAACGGACCTTGGAAATCAATGCATTAGACCTTGTCTTCCAAGAAAGCACAGTGCCCGGTGGAGGCCCGTGTGACCTTGGGCGGGGTGTGCTCTGCCTCAGAGCTTGGACCTCTCAGGTGCCTGCCTGGGCCCACTGGGCTTTCACTCCCGGCCACGGTCCTCCCTAGATCATGTGCAAGGCTGCGACATCCTTGCAAACTGTAGAGGGGTGGGCAACCTCACAGCTGGTGCCAACACACAGCTGTTTTCCAGGGCCCAGCTGCTCCCCACCTGGGTGGATGGGGGTGCATCTACAAGGGCCTCTCCCAAACCCAGGCACCTGCTCCTGCTCAGGCATTGTAGGGTGCCACAGAGAGCCTGCAGCTGGGGGGTTGGGAACCCCACAGGTTGCCCAGAAACCCAGAACTGCCTTCTCAAGGTGCCTTTGCAACCTTTAGCTTTTTTGACCTCTCTATCTCTTGAGCCACAGCTGCACTTTTGGCTTTTTGGTAATTCATGGGATACAAGAGTCTTGTGGATTTTACTGCTTGGGCTGGTTTAGAACCATGATCCTCAAATCTCAGCTTCCTGAGTAGCTGGGATTACAGGCGGTAGCCACTGGCACCCAGCTGTGTAGAGATGGTTGGGCACAGCTGCCTGTGCGAGCCGGGGGCATACAATGAAGCACAAGGGGCACCTGCTGTCCCTAAGCCTCTGCGATTTCTACAACCGGGTGACTTGGGGCAAGTTCTCTGTGCCTCAGTTTCTCCCTGGGGAACACAGAGATGGCCAACATTCTACCACATAGAAGCGACAGCGGCTGCTACCCAGGAGGGGAGCTAGGATGAGAGCTGGGCTGCTGGGCAGGTGTGGGGTGCCGGGTGAGGTGTGCGTGGTGGCAGCCCCACCTCCCTGACACGCGCCTAGCCTTCTGCTCTGTGAGGGCCGGGCACACAGGCGTGCACAGCCCAGGTGGGTGGTGGCCAAGCCTGGCGCCACGTTGCTGCGTGTGCTGGCTGGTGCAGGAGGGCTGAGCGCACGTGTAGCTGGGCGCGTTTGTGGCGGTGTACCCCGGGGGGGCACTGGCAGGCAGGGCAGCCATGCCCCGGAGACAAGGCACATCTGGTGGCAGCCCGGGCTCTGCTCCTATCTGGGGGGACCCCGAGCCCGGCTCAGGTGGGTCCACGTGCGCTGGGCCCTGGACTGAGGTGGCCTTCGAGGGGAGGGGAGGAGAAGAGAGGAGGGGGGGAGGAGAGGGCCCCCCTCCCCGGCCCCCACTGTGGGGGAGCCCCCCGGGAAGGGGCGGTCCTGAGGTGAGTGAGGACCCCCGGTGGCGGGGGTGGGGGCGGGGCGGGGGGCGGGGCGGGGCGGAGCCGGCCGGGGGGGGGATGGGCGAGGTATGGGGGCGCGGGGAGGGGCGATGTCTCCTCCGCCGGCTCGGGGAGGGAGGGAGGGGAGAGGGCGGAGGGAGGGGAGGGCGGGAGGGAGAGGGGGAGGGAGGGAGAGACCGGGTGAGGGAGAGACGGCGCGAGCGCGCGAGCCAGCCGGTGGCAGAAGGCGGCGCGGAGCGGGCGGCGGCCGCGGCCCGAGGACGAGGAGGCGGCGGCCGAGCGCGGGGGACGCGGCGCCCGGAGCCGGCGGGACCGAGCCGGGGCGCGCGAGCAGGGGCGCGGCGGCTCGGGGGGGCGCCCGGCGCATGGCCAGGCCCGGCCCGCGGGGGGGGTGAACCCCGGCCCCCGCCGCCCCCCGCCCGGCCCGCTCGCCCCCCGGGGCGGTGGGGCATGGCCTGAGGGTCCCCCGGCCCCGGGGGAGGGGGGTGGGGGGGAGGGGGGGAGGGCGCGGGCGCCGCCCGGGATCAGCAGCCCCGCCAGGCAGGTAAGCTGGGGCCGGGTGCGGGGCCCGGGGGTTGCGGGGCCGGGGCTGCGGGAGGGGGCGGGGGCGCCCCGGATGTCCTTGGCCCGGCGCCGGGCTCGGGCCTGGGGTGCGGGGTGCGGGGGACAGCGAATTGGGTTCCGGCAGAGCAGGGCGCGCCCCCCACCCCGGCGGCGGGGTCCCCCCAACCTGGGGCTCTCCGTGGTCGGGCCGGGGTCCCGGGGCCCGCCTCCCGCCCGGCCCGGTCCCGGCCACTCCCCCGCGTCGCCCCCCTGGCGCACCTGGCCCCTCCCCCAGGTCACCCCGGGGCTCGGCCGCGGCCCAGCCGGGGTCCCCGCGCCCCCCACCCCGGGACCGCACGGGCCCCGCGTCTCCCGCCGGGCGCCCCCCCTCCCCCGAGGCCGCCCCTGCCCGCACTCCCGTCCGCGCCGCGGCTCCTCCGGCCCGGGGTCTCCCGCCCCCCTTCCCCGGCCCGGGGTCCCCCCCGCCCCGGCCCCGACCGTGGCCTCCGCCCCTCTCCGCCCCCACTCGCCCTCCCGCGCCCGCGGCGGGCCACGCCGCCGCCCCCAGGGCGCCCCCCGCGCCCCCCGCCGTCCTCCGGGGCACCCCCACCTCCCCGCCCCCCGGCTCCTCAGCCCGTCTCGGTACCAGCTGCGTGCCAGCTATTCTTAGCCGCCGAGCGTTTGATTCATGCCGCCCCGGCGGAGTGTGCCCGCTCCCTCCCTCGGGCCGGAGGGGGAGGGGCCGAGCGGCCGGGGGGCTGGGGCGCGGGGGAGGGGGGGGACCCCGGGCCGGCCGCCGCCCCGCCCCGCCCCTGTGTGGCCGGAGGTCAGCCGGGGTCAGCCGAGGGGGGAGTGGCCGCGGCCCCGGGGGAGGGGGCGAGAGGGATGAGGGGGGGAGCTGGACCGGGCCGGGGTCCCCCTCGGGGGCGGGGCCTCGGCGCGGGGAGGGGGGGGAGGGCCCCGACTGGGGTCTAGGTGCCCTCTCGCCCACAGTTCTTGGAAGTCTGCTTCCACACACATTTTCTCTTCCTTGCTTCAGCCCCCCCATCCCCAAAGTCGGCAGTACCCTCCACTGCTTCTCATCTCCATGGCAACCGTGCGGGAGCCGGGCCTGGTGTGGGGGGGGGGGGGGGAGGGAGGGACCAGACCAGACATTCTGGTTTCCGGTGCTGGGGTGGGAGTTGGGGGGGTGTTTGGGAGAGGCAGTTCTA